TCTAACACAGTGCGGCAGGCTGTGTCTCCGCTAATCCCAGTGGGATCTAAAGTTAACTACATGTTTCCCCAAATCAGGTGCCTGGACAGTGTGGCCTGAGCATGGACATTGAGATTGTTTCTCTGCCACCCACATGGAGTCAAACTTGGGGTTGTTTTTAAAGTGGCTAATCTCTGAGCTTCATGAACTTTGGTAATAATAATAGATTGAGTCATTAACCAAGAATACCAGGAAGAAATAAAATGATCACAGGATGTTCAAAAACAATGAATACATGAAAAACACTCCTTTCAACCTGCTGAAATTTTGAAAAAGAGTCTTTATAGGAACTGTTCATTCTTTTTTTGAAGAAGAATTTTTTTTAATTCTCATTCAAGGATATGCTTAGAGAGAGAAAGGGGAGAAGGAGGGAGGAAGGGAGGGAGGGAGGGAGAGAAAGGGAGGGAGGGAGGGTGAGAGAGAGAGAGAGAGAGAGAGAGAGAGAGAGAGAGAGAGAGAGAGAGAGAGAGAAACATCCATCAGTTGCATCTATACATGCCTCAGTTCTGCATGTGCCTGGACTGTGGATCAAACCCACAATCCAGGCATGTGCCCTGACCAGAAATAGAACTGGCAACCCTTTGGTGCACAGGACAACACTCAACCTACTAAGCCACTCTATCAGGCTAATTCTTAAGTATATATTAAAATAGATAAAATATACCTTCAAGGTTCAGACAAGTGAAGGACACCTCAAAATATCAAGCTCAATGTGAGAACCCTTACAGAGGTGTACATGGAGCAAATACTCTTGAACTATGCCATGTTTAACAAAATAGATCTTTTAAATAAATATATTTAATTTTATATCAAACATACAAGCAAAATTTTTACTGAAGCCAAGAGATTTTCCCATTGAGTTTGCTACAGCAGATTATGGCACGTAATGGTTATCCACAGGTTGAAATATGAGGATATCCTTCTACTGTGTTCCCACATGGGCTTGAAGTAACCTTAGACTTAAGTTGGCACTGCTACTCAACTACCAAGTTTCACAGACCAACACAACTTCTGATAAACAAAACGTGGTATATCCATATAATAGAATCTCATTTGGCAAGAAACAAGAATGAAATCCCGATACATGTCACAACATGGGTGGAATCTTGAAAACATTATGCTAAGTGAAAGAAGCCAGTCACAAAGGTTCACATGTTGTATGATTCCCTTTATATTAAATGTCCAGAATAAGAAATCCAGAGAGACAGAACATGATTAATCCGTGGTTCTCTAGGAATAATGGTGTCAGAGGACAATGGGGGATGACTACTAATAGGTTCCAGGTTTGTTTGTTTTTTAATTACTAATTTGAGAGAGAGAGAGACCAGTTCATTTGGTTCACTCATTTATGCATTCATTAGTTGCTTCTTGAATGTGCCCTGACCAGAAATTGAACTGGCAACCTTGGCATATCGGGACGACACTCTAATCAACTGAGCTGCCAGGACAGGGTTTATTTTTGGGGTGATGAACATTTTCTAAAATTGAACATTTTCTACAATTCTGTGAATTTACTAAAAGTCACTGAATTGCATCCATTAAGCGGGTGAATCATATGGAATGTGAATTGTATCCCAATGAAGTTGTTAGTTTAAAAAAAAAAAAAACTTATACAATCTTTACGTCATAATTTTTAAGCTTTCTACCATAAAAACCCTAGTCCAGCTCTCTTTAAATTAGTTACACTGTACTATTAAGTTCCTTTCTTTTGGAAATACATACAGAGGTATTTAATGGCTAAAATTATACCTGGGATTTGCCTTAAAGTAACCCAGGGGGTGTTAAGAAGAGAAAAAGGGTGTGGCCCTAGGTGGACAGCTACTGAAGCTGTGGGTGATGGGAAAATTGAGGCTCATTATACTATTTTCTCTATATTTGTTGAGATTTTAAAATTTCATAATAAAAGATTAAAACTGAGAGAGGTTCTTAAGATTTCCTGGCCACTTCTAGATGCTCGCTCCCTCTCTCTCTCTCTCTCTCTCTCTCTCTCTCTCTCTCTCTTCTGTTTATGTTTTCTATTTTAAAATAAATACCTCTTAAAAATATTTACAGTTGAAACAAAGCAATGTCTGAGATTCGCTTCAAAACAATATAGATAGGTAATCTGATAAAGGGCCTAGGAAGTACGATGGAGATAATTCCTCCCCCCCTTGGAAGACCCATCCCCCCCCCCCCCCCCCCCCCCGGAGTTATCAGCACACACAGACCCAGCAGCAGGGCGAGGAAGAGGCTCCGACCAAACAAGTGCTGGGCCTGGGGGAGGATGTATGTGGTGGCTCATTGTGTACTGCTTGGATAACTATAACATTGTAATGCAGAGTTTAAAAAACACCACCACCTCTCTCACATACACACATTCAAAAGGTATGCCACCGGTGAGGGTGAGACTTTTTTCCTAAAAGTCCTAGAGAGTCACGGTGCCCAACACGGACCTCAGTATGCTGTTCCAGAGATGCAGTATTTGTTGGTTCTGATGTCATTTTTTAAAATATATTTTATTGATTTTATACAGAGAGGAAGGGGGAGAGATAGAGAGTTAGAAACATCGATAAGAGAGAGTCATCGATCAGCTGCCTCTTGCACACCCCCCTACTGAGGATATGGCCGCAAACAAGGTACATGCCCTTGACCGGAATCGAACCCGGGACCCTTCAGTCCCCAAGCCGACGCTCTATCCATTGAGCCAAACCGGTCTCGGCTGGTTCTGATGTCATTTTGCAAATTCTGAGGTCACACTCAGAAACAAGCCACACAAAATAAGAATAACAAGTAGTTACAAGTTTGCATGTAGAGTTCGGAGATAGGGGGTAGGAAATGTTCCTATAGAAGAGAATTTAGTTCCAAATAACTGATCCTTTCCCTGATCTGGTTTCCTGGGTCGTGGGGTCGTGGAGGCAAGGACATACCCAGCCAGCAGGCCCAGGGAAGAGCCTTCATCTTCAGGCTGATGGCCATATATATATATAATTTTTTTTCTTTGTTAAGATATTACATATGTTTCCTTATTGTCTCATTGCTCCCCCACTCATGCCCTCATGCCCCTGTTGTCTGTGTTTGGGCTTATATGCATGCATGCAAGTCCTTTGGTTGATTTCTCCCCCTTACCCCCACCCTCCCCTACTTTCCCTCTGAGGTTTGACGGTCTGATGGATGCTTCTCTGTCTCTAGATCTGTTTTTGTTCATCGGTTTATGTTGTTCATTATATTCCATAAATAAGTGAGATCATGGACTTTTTTTTTTCTCTTTCTTTTTTTTCTTTCAAATACTTCATGAACTCCAACTGTGGTTTGGGTGACATCTAAGTACATTTACCTCTAGAATAATTCACAATAGCACACCTGATTTCAGTTTTTAATTTTATATAGAAGGGGGGAAAAAATAGTTTCCGATAATCCTAAACTAGCTATCTTTGAGAGGACAAGTGATTATGATTTTACTAAGAGCAAATCCCTAAAGAAATGGATGCAAGTTTCATTTCTGGCCTGTGGCAATTAGGGAAATGAAATGCACCCACCATTTGGCTGAATTCAGTCTGGCACACGGACTAAAACCCATAATGGGCCTCATGCCTCCTCCTGGAGTTTAAAGAGCACTCAGCCAGGCGTGGGATCCTTTTTACCTGATGCTCAGACCGTGACCTCGTTACCACTGCATGGGCCGTGCCACGGAAGATCGCCCAGCATCAAAGTATTTCAAAGGAGAGCAAACTGGCACCGGTTTAAGTACAAAATGTCAGGCCAGGCTCCAGGTACGCAAGGTTCTTAATGTGCTTTTCAAACAATTACTTTGGGTTTAATGAGTTTCCTTGTATTCTCAGAATTTGGTCTTTAATCTGAGTATGTGTGGACCTGCAAAAGGAGCACACATTCATGGCGGAGCTTAGGCAAAACGACAGGCACTGCCAGACTTTCCCATTTAGTTTGCTCCTAAAAGGGTCATTTACTTTAAAACACCCATCTTCCACAATCTTCCCATGAAGACCTGTTTCTAAGTCTCACAACCCCAAGCAAAGCTCAAGAAGTCAGATGCCCTGCGAGCTGTGAAATTGCTATGAGGCAGGGAGAGTAGCCACCCAGTGTCCACAGACTATGGAGGCAGCACCTTTGCCCCAGATCAGCCTTTCCCCGAGAGGCAGGGCCAAGCCCCTGAAGGGGGGCAGACATCTCCAACTCCTAGGCCAGCTCTGGGCTTTGACGAGCTCATGCATCATGATGGCTTGGGTTCTGGAGAATTAAATTTTGCACAGCAGCCTGTGTGGCTCCGGGAACCGAGTGGGGGCTTAGGGCCCTCCTTTAATAAGCAGGTACACAAGCTCGAGGTTACACACCTTGTCATTACTTTTGCACTCATCCCCCAGACACGTTTCACATCTATCCGTGTCTTAAAGGGGAACAAAATAAGTGACCTGACTCAGTCACCCTGTTACTTCATCCACCATACAAACACACCTACTATGTGCCAGGCAGGCGCTCTGGATACATCAGTGAACAAAATGTCAAAACCCCTGCCCTCCTGGCACAGATGTTGTCCGGAAAGTCAACACTGGGTAGCCAAAGAAGTTTAACCATTTTCCTCCCACCTTCCTACCACCCGCTCCCATCCTTCCAATTTCCCAAAGAGCCGGGAGTCCTTCAGCCTGCAGGGAATAGACACTGCCCTGGTACAACCCAATTCATCCCAGAACTCCACGCTCTGCAGGATTCCCCCCCCCCCCCCCCCCCCCCGCCCAAAAAAATTTTTTTTTCAACTCGCCAGCAAGAGGGCTGTGCTCTCCTACCTGCAGACTTGAGCAGGAACCACACAATTTCACTCATGTGTGGAATATAAAACAGAAAGCAAGCGACAAACAATCCCCGACGGTGGAGGGTACCGGGCAGAGCCCCTGCATCCCCTGGTGGGCCCAGCGGAGGGAGGGAGGGAGGGGAGGAAGGAGGGAGGGAGAGGGGCGCGCGGCACTCACCGAGGAGCCGGCCCAGAACGGGCATGAGTTCTTCACCTGCGGGGAGCTGCTCAGCGACAGCGCCCCGAAGCTGAGCGCCACCATGCAGCACCCCAGGATCAGCTGCAGCAGCCCGAGCGACAGCAGCGGCCGGCCGGGCAGCAGCGCAGAGCTCGGGGCCACGGCGGCGGCGGCCCGGCGGGAGGAGAGCGCGGGCGGCACGGCCAGCACCCCGGCGGCCGAGCAGCGGGGCCGCCCCGGGGGCTGCAGCGCGGCCCGGGGCCAGCGTGGCCGCAGGGGAGGCAGCGGGGGTTCCTGGGCAGCGGCGGCCGTGGCGCCCGGGCCCCCGGCCTGCGGTCCGCCCGAGAGCCCGGCCACCGGGCAGCAGGAGCCAGGGAGCACCACGGGCAGGGACATGGGCGGGCGGGCGGGGAAGGGAGCGCCCAGGGCTGCAGGGAGGCGCGCAGGACCCGGGAGCGGCGCACTGGGCACCGCGGGCCGGGCCGGCCGGGCCGGGCCCGGGGGAAGGGAAGGAAATGCGCAGCCCAACCACTTGCTGCTGCCGCTCCGCTGCTGTGGCTGCCCAGCCGCTGCCCGGGCACCCGCCGGCCGCACCCACCTGCCACCCAGCGGGTCCGCCTCGGGCCGGTCCGGGCAGTGCGCGCTCCCCGTTCACTGGCGCCCACACACACCAGGCGCGCCCGCACTGGGGCCGCGGGGCGGCTGCAAGGCTGCAACCTTGGGTCGCAGCCTCACTCTGGGCGCCTGCTCTCTGGTCCCTGGGGCTAGGAGAGGGCCACCGGGAAGCAGCTCTGGACAGCGTGCACTGGAGCCAGCAGCCCACAGACAACCTAAGAGTCCGCCCCCGCCCGCCCGCAGAAGCGCAGGGATCCTCGCCCTGTTCCAGTTCGGACCCTGGCAACCTTTAATGGGAAGGAAGCTCTGAACTCCCCTCCCCCGCCTCCTCCCCAAGAGGTGGATGCCCCGGTGGACGGGGCTGTGGGTGACCCAGTGAGGAAGGACTAAGTAAGCAGAGCGAAGTCACCGCTGGCGTGGCTTCAACAGAACAGGGCAGGAACCATGCAATTTCACTCGTGTGTGGAATAGAAAGCAGAAAGCAACAAACAAACAGCAGGAACCAGTTTGGCTCAGTGGATAGAGCATCGGTCTGCGGACTGAAGGGTCCCCAGGTTCGATTCCTGTCAAGGGCACAACCTTGGTTGTGGGCACATCCCCAGTAGGGGGTGTTCAGGAGGCAGCTGGTTGATGTTTCTCTCTCATCAAGGTTTCTAGCTCTCTATCCCTCTCCCTTCCTCTCTGTAAAAAATCAATAAGAGATATGTTATTAAAAAAACAACAACAACAACAACTCATAGACACAGACAACTGTATGGTAGTGACCAGGAAGGGGGTTGAGGGGCGGATGAAGAGACTCAGGGGAGTCAAATGCATGGCCATGAAAGGAGACCAGGCTGCGTGGTGAAGCACACACCACATTGTACAGATGATGTAGGATGGCGTTGTTCACTTGAAACGTACCTACTGTAATGAACCAATGTCACCCCAGTAAATTTAATTTAAAAAACATTATACTAAGTAAAAGAAGCCACTCACAAACGACGACATATTGTATAATTCCACCTATGAAACCTCCAGAACAAACACATCAATAGTGACAGAGTATAGATTAATGATTGCTTATGGTTGGGAGGATGGGGAGATTAAATGGGGAAGGTGATTGCTAAAGAGTGTAGGGTGCTTTTTTGAGGTGATAAAATGTTCTAAAATTGATGGTGATGGTTGCACAGCTCTGTGAATATGTTAACCGCCACTGAGCCCTAGATGGTTTGCTCAGTGGATAGTGCATTGCATGCAGACTGAAGGGTCCGGGGTTCAATTCCCATCAAGGGCACATACCTGGGTTGCAGGCTTCATGCGGCCCTGGTCAGGGTGTGTGTGGGAGGCAATCAATAGGCTCACATCTCCCCTTCCCTTCCACACTCTATAAAAGTCAATGGAAAAATAGCTCAGGTGAGGATTAACAAAAATAAAAAATAAATAAAAAACACTGAATTGGACACTGTAAATGAGTGAATTATATCTCAATAAAGATACATGTGGCTTGCCGAAACCTGTTTGGCTCAGTGGATAAAGCATCGGTCTGCAGACTGAAAGGTCCCAGGTTCGATTCCGGTCAGGGGCATGTACATTGGTTGCGGGCACATCCCCGGTATGGGATATGCAGGAGGCAGCTGATCGATGTTTCTCTCTCATCAATGTTTCTAGCTCTCTGTCTCTCTCCCTTCCTCTCTGTAAAAAATCAATAATATATATATATATATATATTTTTTTTTTTTTTTTTAAAGATACATGTGGTTTATACCTCCATAAAGCCCTAAAAATAAAGTGAGGGAGAATGTGTGGGAGAACTGACCCACCCTTCATGAACGTAGGTGAAAGTCCAGGGAAATAATTGTTGTTAATGAATTGTTTCGTGGGACCCAGCTGCCAGCTTTCCTCAAGATCAAAGCCAGTCAAGGAAAAATGCCCACCAACTCTTCCCTTCCCTGTACTTCCTTTTCTGTGCTTCGCACACAAAGCCCTCACTGCTCAGGATTCCCCCTCAAACAAGCTCCTCAGTTCCTCCCACCCTTCCTCAGAAACCCAGCCTGTCCGAGGATGCAGGAGGGTAATTCAGTGGGAGCTACTGCTGAATTGCCTTAAAGCCTGCTCCCTGACAACCTGCCTTCAGTTCTCCCTGTTTAGAAAGAGAGTAAGGCACAGTGGGCTCATTTAACATGGTGGCTTTGGAGCAGCTTTTCAAAGGGTGGCCCACGGGCCACAGAACCACTAGGGGAGAGTGTCAGAATGCAGGTTCGCTAACTTCCCCCACACCCACCCTGACACTCTGGACGAGGGGCCTGGGAACCTGCATGTTAATGGATTGTCCAAAAATATTAATGGGTGGAACCATTCAGACTCCAGAATTTTTATGTGGGACTGGGTATCTGCGAGACAACTAAGGACCGCAAGTTAGCTGGAAGGGGAAGGCAGAGGATTTGGCTCAAAACCACATTTGGATGTAAATAGGCTGGGGGTAGGGGCTCCGCTGGTCCCCAGCCAGGCATTGCTATCCAGGTGAGTTTTATGCACAGGAAGGATTTAGACCCCTGGATTCTAATGGAAAGGGTGCCATATAGGAGCCAGACATCCTGGGCTATAGCCCTTCTCTGTGATCTTGAGCCAGTTCCAAGGGTCTCTAGCCTCCATGCTTCCTCTGTCAGGCGCCAGTTTATGATGCTTCATCTGCTTGAGGCTGGGCCCTGTGGCCAGCTGGAGTCCCCAAGGCCGGCAATGTTGAAGTTCAGCTATTCTCACTGCCATGGCTTCTCAGATGACCAGCAAGAGAGCAGGATCCAAGAAAAGTAGGTGAATTTGGGTGTGGAATCCTTAAACATGCGGACCCAAAATACCCAGGAAAAACCCAAAAACTGAGGCTGCAGGTTCCATGGTCTCACAGTTTCCCCTGAGGGGCTGCGCTGTATGAGGACTGTGTTGGTGATATGCAGTGGCAGCTTCAATTCAAACATCACATTTCATTTTGCAGAGAAAGGACTGAGGAACTTTTTTTGTTTAATTAAGATAGAGAATGGAAGAAAGCAAGCAACAACACACTCCATTTTTCTGAAATAACAGTGCAGAGTGATTGGTAAGGATATTTAAGGCAACTGGTCCTAAGACAGACTTATTTGTTAAACAGAAGGGCTGTTGCCCATATTTTTTTTTCCCCTCACTGTTGAAATTATATACTTACAATGTCTTATAATTCAAATCCCACAAAACACAATTCAAGTCAACTGCCCTGAAAATTACTTCTGGCTTATGACTCTCTGGGAGCTGTATATCTTATAAGTAGGCGAGTGTGTGTGTGTGTGTGTGTGTGTGTGTGTGTGTGTGTGTGTGTGTAACTTGTAATATCAGAGCTCCCTGCAGGTTCAAGTTTCTGCAGAAGTTAAAGCTGTAATTCACCTTAGAGCAGAGACCATTCCTTTGTTCTGGGGCAATTGCTGGAACAGCCTTTTAGTTATGCAAATGTGAAGCCTAGACCCTTCGGAAACAATTATGTTTAGGAGAAAGTTGTACGATAAGAGGCTGTGTGTCTGGAGCAGGCGACTCAATAGGGGCTCTTGGTCTAGGGTGCTTGTCAGTCTTTCCAGATTATTTAATAAAAACTCCCCATAAGTTGGTGATGTCCTGGGAAGCTATGTCTCAGAGATCAATATACACCCCCTCCTCTCTCTCTCTCTCTCTCTCTCTCTCTCTCTCTCTCTCTCTCTCTCTCTCTTTCTCTCTTGCCGTGTGTGTGTGTGTGTGTGCGCGCGTGTGTGTGTGTGTGTGTGTGTGTGTGTTTGTGTTGTTCTTTCCAGCAACTTTTCGTGGAGAAGAGGTCCTCAGGCCCCCAAAGACAGTCAGAGGATGGGCAGTCCTGTCTATCAAGCTGAAGGATAAGCAATAAGAAGGAACTTGGCCTGGGCTGGGGACAGCCTCATAGACTGAGTTGTAGATGTCCCCATAGATTGGGTCTTTCAAGACTGACAAATCCTGTGGAAAATGTACAGTTCACTAAATTTAAAAATGTCTTAGCCATTGACGTACTGAAGGCCACAAAGCCACTGAGGGAAAGACAGGTGGATTCCACTTGCCCCCGCGCCTCCCAGAAAAAAAAAAAGAGAGAGAGAGAGGTCACAACTGCTGTCCTGTGGCAGGTGCAGGTCCTTCCTGGGACAGGAAATGACACGTGAGGAAAGGGGAGTTTAGGATGCAGGGATGGAGCCCCGCCCTTCCTCCGAGCCTCCTGCTAATACCAGCCGCTGGTTTTGACAGGCTGCTGTCAGGCTTTCTGAGCGTTATTTTTTTTTCCTTTTTTTTTCAGGTTCATAACAGTGTTTATTTATTTATTTTTTTCATATTTTATTGATTTTTTTTTACATATTTTATTGATTTTTTTTACCCCCCCCTCCCTCCCACCCATCCCCTCCCTCCCCAGAGTTTTATGACCATTGGTTGTACTTATATGCATGTATACAAGTCCTTCGTTTGATCTATTATCTCCCCCAGATCTTCCTCCCCTCCCCACTGTAATTTGACAGTCTGCCTGTTGCTTTACTTTCTCTATCTCTGTCTCTTGGTTCATCAGTTCATAAAGAGCTTTATTGTCCACCAATGAGTGAGGTCATGTGGTATTTCTCTTTCATTGATTGGCTTATTTCACTCAGCATGATGTTCTCCAATTCCATCCAGGTTGCTGCAAATGATGAGAATTCCTTCTTTTTTATGGCAGCATAATATTCCATTGTGTAGATGTACCAAAGTTTTTGGATCCAATCATCTGCTGACGGACACCTAGGCTGTTTCCA